CACACAACGACAAGATCAGCCATGCACTGACACTTGCTGAGACACCTCAGTGGATACAACAGTAAATGCTATCCTAAACTAGATTTATATTCTAGGTTTATGTTATGTTCTAGGTTTATACTGTAGCAGCCAACCAAATGCCTAAGGGAAGTCCATAGATGAACCATCTATTGGAATCTTTCTTTGCTGCGAAATACAAACTACATTTATAGGGATTATAGGAGAGTGGGTTTGTTTTTAATAGTTGGAAACAGTATTGTCAAGCTTTCAGATGGTAAGAAAAGATATTGTGAAGAGGGCTGCTCCCATTATTTATGTATGTATGTATTTATTTATTTATGTTTCAAATTTAGTCACTGCCCATCTCACTCAAAGAGCGACTCTGGGCGGTTTACAAAAAAAATAAGGGTAAAAACCAATGAAAATACAATAAAAACAGTCTTCATAAATAAATAATGCATAATTATCTTGTGTACCAGGGCCCCAGGGTATGGTCTCAAAGCACATGATGTCCAAACTTTTCTAAAGTTACAGAGATCTCTTTTTGGTTTATGCTAGGTGAGAGCTCAGTTGGGAACATTTACATGTGCCTTGAATTTAGGATGCAGACATTGTACCCTTAACATACAAATTGAAGGTCTCAATTTGAAGACTATATTCTGATCATGGTAATAATGTAAAATCTAATTCTTTTCTTAATCGTTACATACTTCATCCCATTCCTAGCTGCTTCTGACTGTGTTTGGTTGTACTGTTCCAATCTAAGCTATGAATTTAGGAATACATTCTTGAGATTTGTATTAACATTTTATTCTAACACTGTGACATCTGGCTCACTCACAAGGCAGATGACACACTGCTCCACATGTCCTCTTGGCACTATATTCCCTTAATATTTCATTTTTCCATGCCTGCTTTATAGCAGTTCTTCAGCTTCTATGTGCTATCAAGTAAAATATGTTTCAATCTTGAAGTATTATAATTCTTCCTGTAGACAATTAATGAACTTTAACCTCCCCCAGCAGCAAATATATCCAGCAATCACAGTGCTTTGTTGTAAAAAGAGAGACTGATTTTAACACTTCCAATTTCTCTTGTATTATTGGTGTGTGCTTCATGCTCACATTCAAAAACAGTTGATGCTGCACTCTTTTCCTTGCATGCACTACTTTGCCATAATTATATTTCAAAGAAATACTGGTATTATGATATCTCAATATGAAAGGTGCTTCTGTTTTAATCCTGCCAAGATGTCTAAGCATAATGGTTTTATTATTGCTTCCTGTACAATCTGCTTCCTAGATCACCCACTATCTACGCATCCCTAAAATACATTTTCCCTAACAATATAGGCTGAAAACATATTACTTTTATATTTCAAATAGCTACCTAATATTATTCTGATATTTATGGGAATATTTCTATAAATATAAATATTCTATATATTTATAGAATAACATGTTCAGATAGGCCATCTGAAGTATGGAACAATGATAAGATTGCTATTTAAGTTACTGTTAAGTTTATTTTGCATGTGTGTATGTATAATTTCAGCCTATGAGAGTTATCCTGAGGAATGCTCAGGTGTTTATTTTAGGTCCTATGCTTTTCAATAGCTACATAAAACCCACTGGGAGAGGCTATTCAGAAATGAGGGCTAAGTGCCACCAATATGTGGATGATATGGAAATTCTCTCTCTTTCTCATCTAATTCAGGGGAGGCAGTTAATCATAGAGTCATGAAATCAGAAAGATGGAAGAGGCCTTTTTGGCCATTTGAGTCCAACCTCATGGTTCTCAACATTTAAACTCATTCAAAGTATTTCCTGACTTTGTTTCTATTATCTCAAACTTCAGTCCTGCAATCCTTTCATATTGCTCTTCACAGTTGTCTGGTGGAAGAGATACCTTCTTGGTATACTGATCCTTTTGTTTGCAGCACTTTTGTTATTCTTAGCATCTTGTGATTCTTAGCATCTTTTGCTAACCTCATCTCATTCTGGGCTTTTCCTTTGCTGACAGCAGCTTTACAGATCTAGACTTTAGGCACTCTTTCATTGTGATCAGCCCTATTTTCATTTCCTAGGTGTCCTTTTTAGTTTTGGAACTTCTCTAAGCTTTTGGGTAGCTACATTGGCTTTTTTTTTTTTTTTAAATTGTGCTCCATTTCCCCCCCTTTTTTCCTTGCTCCCTTTTCCTGACAGAGAGTACACTTCCCAAGGTGATGGGTGCAATCAACATACGCATGTTTTAATTTCTCATAGTAGCAAGTCACCATCTAGCATGGATCTTGTCTTCATCTTCTTACACAGCATCGAGTCCTCTTTGCTCTCTTAAGGAGTCACCATCCTATTTATTGTTCTATAGAGTCTATTTTTTTTTCTGCTGAATACTAATCGTCTATTTCATCTGCAAGGCCCTGAAAATTGTTTCTGAGTTGCAGCACTGCAGAATGCCTTTTCTGTCTCTTGCATCTTCTGTTGTTACTCTTATCCACTGGACTTGCTCATTTGTTTGTCAGCCTTCTTTATGGAGAATTGTTTCCAGCGTTAGTTTTTGCTGTAGACCATTCTTTCTTTAAAGTGATAAATCCTTAGCCTTTCTCATAGCTAAAATGTGACCATTTACTGCTCCAATATTTTAATATTTTTAAAAGGACTTCTGTGAGCTTGCATTAGCTGCCACTCAATATTCCAGGTTGTTTTTAGGAAGACAACATGCCACAGAGATCATATGTCACAACTCGAGACTCCTCACCATTCATCTTCATTTTTGCTTCTAGGGCATCACCAGTAGAAAGGCTTTGATTATTCTTGTTCCTTTCTCAGGTTAGCCAAGTACAAACTCTTGGCTCAGCGACTTCTAAGGCAAACTGTTAGTTCTCCCTAATTGTGAGTTTGCTGTCTGAAACCAAAGTCTGTCTCTACATTACATTCCTGTTACACCTTGGGTTACTCAGCAAGAAGCAGACACTCAGCCATCCACCATGGGCAACCACCACACTCAGAGCACATCAGAAGAGTAAATAGCAGCTATTCAAGAGGTGAACTTGTTATTTTTAATTGTGTGCGCCACCCATAGTCACATATGTGAGATGGGCAACTATATAAATTTAATAAATCAAATAAAATAATAAAACTTTCAAAACTCTCAAAACTCAGCACACAATAGTTTAGAACACATACAGTAGTTTAACATCCCAAACTAGCAATAACCCCCCAAAATGTTGAACTGATTTTCCCATTTTGCATCTCAAAATTTCTCCAGTCTTCCACAGTGAGCAATCATATCACCAGTTTTTTTAAAAAATAAAGTCTCTGATTATAAGCAAGTTATGAACCTTTGTTCTAAATGAATACATGTATAATTTAGGTATTCTTGAATCCATTAGCGTCACTAGTTGCTTCAATTGCTTGGGATGCCTTTTATCAGTTCATAATTTTCCAACAGCAGATTAGTATTGCAATGCATTATACATGGGCCTGCCTGTGAAAATGGCCTGGAAATACTGAGTAATTCAAAACAAGACAGCTGAATTACCAGTTGGGACTGGTCAATATGATCACATTAAGATATGTTAACTAACTTGTACACTGCCTAGGGAGTTATGGTTATTTAGTGATTTAGAGATATAATTTGGTCAATTTCAGTTTCATTGTCTAAATTCAGTTGAGAACTCTAGTAATATATAATGTATGTATATTATTGGCTAATGGCTGCCCTGTGTAGTGACTGTTTGAAGTTCAATGGTGCTGAAAAAGTAACTTTACGACTGGTCCTCAAACTTACGACCATCACAGTATCCCTGTGGTCACATGATTGCAATTTGGGCACTTCGCAACTGGCACGCATTTATGATGGTTGCAGCATCCCATGGTCACATGATCATCATTTGCAAGTTTCACAGCCAGCTTCCAACAAGTAAAGGCAATAGAGAAGCCAGCAGTAAAATTGCAAGTTGTAGTCATGTGATGTCTTATTTAATGACCACAGGTGATTCACTTAACAACTGCAGCAGAAGTGACATTATAAGTCTGGTGTGGACACATGATCTTTTGCTTAACAACCACATTGCTTAGTGATGGGGTTGCTGGTTCCAATTGCGGTCATTAAGTGATGTCTATCTGTATAATAGTTAATCAACAATTGAATGAAAAAGTTTTGTACTTGCAAATTTGAATATATTTCCCATATCTCCCTCTACATAATTGCTGATATTTATATATACAGGTAGTCCTTGCTTAATGACAATAGGGACTGGAAAATTGATCATTCAGCAGGGCGATCATTAAGCGAGTCACCATGTGACTGGACCCAATTTTACGGCCATTTTTATGATGGCCATTAAATGAATCATTGTGCTCATTAAGCAAATTGAGTGGTCATTAAGTGAATCACGTGGTTAAGCGAATCTAGCTTCCCCAATGGTAGTTTTTTGCTGGAATTCGCTTAACGACTATGTAATTTGCTGAACGACTGTTGTAAAAGAGGTCACAGATCATGATCACATGACTGTGGGGGTGTGTGACAGTTTGTGATGTAAGTGCGAATACAGGTTGTAAAGCACTTTTACTGAGGCCATCGTAACTTTGAACTGTCGTTAAACGAACAGTTGCTAAGCGAGGACTACCTGTATAACACACAAATTTCTAATGTATACCTTCAGGATGTACTGGTGAATGACTATAATAAAGAATACTATTAATACAATATATTCAATAAATACCTTCTAAACATATTATTTGAAAAGTATGTTATTAGTCAATATTTCTATACGAAGTATGGGAGGAGAGAGAAATGAGACAAACCATAGTTCTACAAAATTTAGAGCAAAGATGTAAAAAAGTTGCTTTATGGAGAATGATGAAGCTCATAGTACAGTTACAATCCAACTTTACTAAGACTATATAATATGAACATTATATAAATGTTCAGGTTTGTTTACGTTTTTCTTTTACATATAATATAGAATATACTGTAATCATCATTAATACAAGAAAATAAATTTCATAAGAAATACATTAAAAGGAAGAAGAAAACAATAGAGATAAATTTCTTAAGTCAACCCATCTAGATAGCCAAACAATGAACAGATTTCTCTAAGTCTCAGATAAATTGACTAGCAAATTGTTGTTGTTATTTTGTTCACTTTCTCTCTCAGCATACTTCTGGAAAAAAGAATAATTATTTTGTTTGTCTAATACTGCATATTTTATTAAGTGACATTAATGGATTGATAAATGAAATTTTTAAAAACAGATGAGACCTTTGGTAAATAAAAGCTCTCAGCTAATCTTAATTTTTGTGGAATTTCTTAAATTAATAATTTCATTACATGTTCTTGTTAATATTTTCAGTTTAATTAAGAATGTATTTACTGTACAATTAATATATATCAACTGTATATTAGAAAGAATACTCCAGAAATATAGTGACATAAAAAAATAACGGTCATGTATATATAATTTTCAATTCTAGTCATATTTGCATTAGTTAATCCTTCAGAATGGAGCATACATTATTGATGGTCATCTGACATCTGCAGGTACTTGTTCAGAAGCAATGCAATCAGTTTCATACTTTTTCTTCAAACCTTTCAAGTATATTCGCAAGCTGTCGGGATCCAATTGAGAGTTGCGAGCAGTCTGAATCAATCTATTTGCTAAGTGATATATAGCCTTCTCCTTTAATATTTCAGGATCAGTTCTTTGCTGCTGCTGTTATTTAAAAGGACATGCACATATTAAAATCTGAATGTTTATAATTCTCACAATGTCAATTATCCAAGTATACATATTTCAGTTGTATTCTCACGTTAACTGATTAAACCATTGTAGAAGATGAGAAAGCAAAGCTGCATATAGTGCAGACCTATTCTTGCAGCTAAACTTTACAGTAAGATGTTGTGGGACATGATTTGAAATGAAATGGTTGGGATGAAAACCATCCTGCTCATTGACCCAAATTGTTTCTGTCTCTGTCTAAATCCTATAATTGTTTGCTAACAGCACTCAACAAACTTACAGGGGCAGTAGTTGGCTGGAGCACCCATATCCCCTTTTTTGAATATTGCCATGATAATGGCAGTACTCCAATCCTGGGGAATGTGACCTGTATGGTCTATATAGGAAAAAGAAGCCAAAATCTCCTGGCATTATCTTAAGAACTCCAGTTGCTGAGTAGAATCACCACCAGGGATGGTAAGGGATAACTGGAAGGTTGGCAGACTTAGGCGTTCATTTTCTGTTTTTCCGTACAAGTATCTCCAGCTTCTGCACTACTTTGGGAATCCTTCCTGGGAGAAGAATTTACAAACAATAACTAGCTCGCTTTCTGCCTGCAAATACTCCAGAAACTGCAATAGTGCTGGAAATAATGAATTGGGAATCCTACATTTTTTGTTATATATTTTGGTCTGGAAGTATGTCATGATGTCAACCTTTTTTATGCTAGGGCTGTTTTTACTGAAACACAAGCACATTCTGTCAAAATAACAAAGGGTTATTACTTGATATATCTACCAAAAATGTGCACTGCCAACAGTAAGATGCCCTTGGAAAAGTTAATTTGTTTCTTTAAAGCTATTATGAATGCATTACATGGTTTGTGGGTGAGAGGTAATAAAAAAGCTTGAAATATTGGACTCTCCTGCCTGATACAGACAGTTTGTAAACAAAAAGAAAAACTTAGTATGTTATCAATAAACAATCAGAATAACTTTTCTGCTAGAAGATTCTGCTGCAAGATTTTGACGTTATGCAATGTATTCTTCTGCCTGGCAACTTCCTGAGTGAACAGATAAATGTGGTTTTGAAGTTGTATGCTATCATATTTATGATACAGATTTATGTCATTTTCATGAGATGTAGGAGCAGTATTTGATCCTGCATAAACGACAGTACTGATTGTAGGCCAACAATTTGAACTTTAATCCAGACAAGACAAGGTAATGATGAAGGACTAGTCTATGGTTAGAGAATATTTAGATTTATCTGCTTGTTAATGGATGTTGCCAACCTGGACAGATATCTAAATGGAAAATTGTAAGATTCTGTCCTCAATCCTATACTTGTCAAGATTTTTATAAATGATCTGAAAGAGGGGTTGTTTGTCAAAACTTCAGTTAAAATAAAGCTAGGAAGTAATAGTATTCAAAATGATCTTAGGATCCTGGAACATTGATTTAAAACCAACAAAATAAAATTCAGCACATGAATATAAGATATTGAATTTAGATATGAAAAATCAAAATGTGAGAGTTCTGCTGAACTGGAAACAGTATATGAGAAAAAGCAGCAGCTGCTAAAAATGTTAACGCAAAAGCAAAATACGTAATATTTAGATCATAGAAAATAATATCTCTGATCTATTTTCCATTAATCAGCTGCTTTGATGTACTCTATTACAAGACAGACATTGACAACCTGCAAAACATCTGAAGAACAGACAGAATGTAAAGGAGGTTGGAAACAAGCCCTAAGAGAAATGACTGAAAGAGCTGGGTATGTTTAGCTTGAATAAATAATTAAGGAAAACATGATAGCAGTCTTCAAAAATCTGAAAGGTTAAAATGCAAAAGATGAAGCATAAGTGTTCTCCTGTTGATCCGGAGGGTATGACTAAAACTATAGGGCTGAAGTTACAAGAAAGCAGATTTCAGTTAAACATTAGAAAAAGCTTTCTAATAATAGGAATCTTAAGCTTTGAAAAGCATTGCCTGAGAGGTGTTGGGCTCTGCAGAGCCATCTGTCAGAGATGCTGTCATGCCATCCGAAAATACCAGTGTAACACTGAATTGGATTGGATGACGACCAAGTATTCTTCCAACTCTCTGGTTTACAATTGTACTGAAACATAATACGATTTGTTTAGTTTTATGTTAGCATACTGTGTGAATCCAGCCTTTGATCTGTAAACTGTATTATGCTTAGTGCATTGGGGAAAACATGATTAAACAAACCAAAGTGTGGGTTTGTTTAAATCTATGACTTTAATGCTTTGTGGCTAATGTATATGAAGTCATTTTTCTTTTATTGCCAGATTTACTGATATTTCTGTGGCTGAGTTTTCATATGCATCATTTGGTTTGCGTTTAACTGTTTAACTTGTTTTTTTGTTTTACATTGTTTTATTCATACTGATAATTGCTTCACAAGCCACTATTTTTTTTTTTTACAAAAAATATAGCATACACATTTCAAAATATTTTTCAGCAAAATTCAACAAAAAAGTAAGCATGTTAATAACCAGCATATAAAATGAAAAGCTGTATTATATGTCCTGGAGTTATGTGCTAATAAAACATACCAATATTTGTCTATCAATAAGAGTTATTAGCTTCTTGGCATCCAATATTATTGATAATGGAAGAGAGGAAACTTCTGCAGCTTTCAAGCCTAAATGTAAAAAAAAAATGAAGCCATTTTTTACTGTGAAAGATAAGGTTATATTTAATAAAAATGTCTGACTTGCCAGATGCCAGATCAGAAGCAGTTCAAACTTCTTTCCTTCCTACTATTAATCTTAACCACGAACTAGTATTACATTGGCATGAATGTTTCCTTTTAAAACAGGATTTAAAACAGGCTTACACATCAGAATTAAGGAGAATACTGATTTGTTATTTTAACTAAAGCGAGCATTCAAGTAGACGTGATGCTAAATCGGGAAGGCAAAAAGGCTGAACAATGTAACATACTTTTTTATGGCCCTATTTCTTAATCATATTTAAGAAATAAAAAGCATTAAGTTGACACCAGACTTGCATATATTTTAATAAAAATATCTACACAGCATTCTTTTCCCCCATTCTCCATTCTAAATATTGTAATCCGCCAAGAAGCATTTTTATTTATTTATTTATCAAATTTATATAGCTGCCCATCTCACAATCATGATATTATATTCTGAATCTTACCAGAGTAACTACCCAGACTCAAATGTATCAAATATTACAGCAATTTCCAGTTCAGCAGCCTTTTCACAATTTAAACCATAGACTCTGTTGTGGATTTGAGAAATACCTTCTTTACCAAGACCAAGAGACAAGAAAATGAATACTGCAGACACAACATAATTATTACAGCCTGTATTTCATGCATTTCATTTCTTTCCTAATCTCAATGCTTTTGATTCTTCTGTATATACCTGTCAACTCAAAACAGAATGATGGAACTAGATCCTGGCCCATGAAAACTTATGGAATCCTAATATAAATTCATCTATTCCTATTGGGATTTCAAATGCCACAATGAGAAAAATGTTCGTTAGTGACAAGAAATAAAACACCTTGCAAAATGGAGAGGCTAATGAAAGCAGATACACTCAATAATGAACACACCATAAAATATTAAGTCTTTTTTTTAAAAAAAATAAAAGCATACAGTTCCAAATGACAAAAATTGCATCTGCAGAACTCTGCTAGATGATACCCTCTGCAGATGCAAATCATATACAGAAACATACTTCTGTGTGCTGTCATAAGCCTTAATGAATCAGAACTATTACCATAGTTTTTTTCCTCTGTGTGTCCTTTAGAAAGAATGTAAGTATAAGCAATTTTCTCCATAATTTCATAACTGCTTCTTACATGCTGCACTTCAAAGTAATTGTTTTCCACATTGGGATATAAGGTATCAATCTGACATAATTCCAAGAAATGAGTAGCAAAGAGTGTAAATGCCTGCAAAATGAAACCACAATTGAATTGAACTATAAATTATTGAAATGAAAAAAAAAAAAGCAGAAGGCAAGAAAAATGATTTAAAAATTAATATTACTTTCAAATTTAGAAGATATTCACAGACTGCATAACATACGCCGATGCCTTCTTCAGGACTGGTACCTCTGCCAAGCTCATCAATTATGATAAGTGATCTGTCATTAGCATTTTGTATGATATATGTTACCTAATGAAAGAGACATCAGATTTCATTACTAACATTCCATGTGTGGATAAATCCTGTTAATAGATATTTTCATTTCCTGCTCAAAACTCTACACAGGAAATTTAGTTTAGTAACAGTCAACCAGCTGTCACGTAAAAACAAATCATTAATCAGCACAAACAGCCCAATTCAGAAGTTCTCTGCATGCACAATAGTTTCAATTTTCACAAAAGCAAATGCATGCACAACTTTTATGTTGTAAGCAGATCTTTCACGATGCTTGAGTAATTGAAAAGAAATGCTTCTACAGCAATCATCTCTGATTAATTCTATGCATGTAGTGTGGGTTCAGCGGGGCTCTGCTTGGTCTAAATTTGTAAATTCATGGCTCTTCAAAATGCAGACATTATCAATGTAGAAATCATGATAATCACATATTCCACTCACATTTACACAAGTAGCAACTTCCTGTAAGATCACAGTTCAAGTAGTAACCCTGAAGTGATAATTTAGGTTTCAATCCTGTAGATATTAAACCGGTTGAAAGGGTAGTTTGGATGCAAATAAGGGTTAGCTGAACCAGAGAGAATCCGCATTTGAACCAAAAGTAACTACTTTGCCCAAGAAATGACCTCTTCTAGTGATTATGATGGATAATGAGCTTAATGAATAATATGATAAAATATTCGGTCTAATGAGGAACATATAATCAATCCAAACACGTAAGTGCATGGATTAAAAGGGACCCTGCATGCTTGAGTGGACTAGAACAATGATGTGTCAAAGACCAGGAGAAGATCAAAATATGACTGATGGATAAAAGTACCAAGAGTCAAGGCATGAACTTCCATGATCAAAAACTGCCCACCTAGACTCCTTCACAAACTGTTTTCTAAATTGTAACAATATTCTGTGACAAGATTGATGAAAACCAGCTTGTCAGAATCCAATATGTTTAGGTTATTAAACAGGAGGCAAAGAGGAATGCTGAGAGAAGTGTAACATGTTTGTGTGTACTGTGTAAGAATGCCCCATTTTGCTTGCTATTTTGCTTGCTGCTTTTTGCTTGCTATTTCTCTCATTACTGTATCTTTTCTGTAAGACAACTGATCTGCCATAGAATTTGAAGTAGAAACCATTCCTGGATTATAACTTAATGCATGGATATATACCCCATCCAAAATTTGGGTTTTTTTATATATAAAGCTTATACTTCAATCTCAGGGGACATTTCAAGCAGAACAGATTCTCAGTTTTTACAACAGATTTTACCCAATCAATTGTAGCTTATGTGATTTATAACATGTCGACCATGGTTTGTTCATATATATATATACACACACACACACACACACACACACACATATACGTGTGTGTATATGTGTTTAAAAAGAATAAAAATTACAACAAACTAAATTAGAACAGAAAAATTGAGAAAAAGAGAAAGAAATAACAGAAACTGCTAAAAGTGCAAGAGAAAAAGAAAATAGAAAAAAAGAGCAAGTTATAAAGAAAAATATAAAGACATAAAGAAGTGGCTTCCAAAATTCTTCACAGTAGTTATAAGTAAAATTATATTTTAACCTCTCTCTCTAAAGTTACATCATGACACGTATTGACCATGGTTATTGATATTTATCCTTGCATTCAGCTTGACAGTGATTTTTAGTCATTTAAAGTGATATATTCAATAATTCATAATTTACTAATGATATACTGAAAATCTGTAACCTTAATATTTTTATATACCTTGTTTACTCATTTGTGCTTTATTATTTTATTTTTGTTATCTGTTTTCTGTTTTCTATTTGTGTCTGTTAAAAAAAATACAAATAATTAAATATGTATAATTAACTGAAAAAGAACATTTACAAGTGAACTAAAGGTGCAAACATGGGTGGTGGGCCAATACTGTTGTTTATGTCATGATGTCACTACACAAATGATATGAATTACAGATTTGCATTGTTTTGCATCATATGAAGCAAAGAGACACAGACATGAAATTTGCATTATTTATATGGTGACATCATGACACACATGGCATTATTTTGATGTAATAACTGCTTCTAACTTCTGTCTATAAATATAACCTATGAATCAAGTAAATATTAATCAAGGCCACTTATTAAATAAACATCTCTAACTCAACTGAATGAATACCTCTTTCATTTCTTTCATGAATGTTGATGAATTTGTTTCTATATCATCATCCATACCTATTCTAGTAAATATTTGTTCAGCAATCCTGAAAGAAGAATATTCTGCTGGGACAAAAGAACCTGCAAATTAAAGAGAGAAACAAAACAAAGTAAGATGTTCAGTTATACTGCAGTGGAACTAACTTTAGCTTTGTCAAATTTGTGAAATAGTAAGAAAAAATTACATCATTTTAATACACTTATACATTCTTTACTCCTAAATAATAATTGGTTCACTAGAAAAAATATTAGAGATTCAGAGAAGTTATTGTTTACCCATTTGTGCCATAATCTGAGAAAGGGCTATCTGTTTTAGGTAGGTTGATTTTCCACTCATATTTGGTCCTGTAATTATTATAAAATTACTTCCTTCTGTGATATAAGTATCATTGGCAACAGGTTTCTCAAAATGTATTTTTTCAAGAACAGGATGCCATCCTTGCTTTATTGCTAATGTATCTGTAAACTCAGGACGTACTAAAATGAAGAAAGATAATAGAATATTTTAACATTCATTTGATATTGACAAGTATATTGTAACACAATTGCTTATACTTCAGTTTATGAACCATACAGAAATGTCTATGTTACATACATGTACACATTATGTAGGACTGCATTATTCCTAATTTTTATGGTATTTGCATAATGTAAAATTTTAGGAATAATGCAATCCTACATATGTCTACACAGGAATAAGTCCAATAAGGTAGTCACTAAATGAGGACTACCTGTAGTTACTTTGCAGTTATGGTAAGGAAAAAATAAGTGGTATAAGTTTCACTGGGAATTGTTTTAAACAACAGAACTACTTACCATAATCAGAAAGTGTGCAAGCATGGGCAAATGACTGCAGCATATCTAGCATAGAGACAGTGTCTGAGAGTTTGTACAAGCAATGGATATATTCATAGATTTCACTCAATAGTTTGCACACTATCCTGTAAACATAGACAAGTACAGTTTATTTTACTCTTCAAAGTAATTTACTATTTATTAGTAAAAGTATCATTATATTCTAACAATGTTTTCTTTAAATACATAACTGAAAAATTACACATTTAAGGAAAGTTCATAGATTTTTGTTTAATGTGGGCACAAAATGAGTACATTATCAGAACTGAATAACAATTATGGCTGAAATCATTTTGCAAATATTAGAAATAAACTAGAATAAAAGGGGTTCTGTTATCTTATGAAAATAAACTTTATTATCAGATTGAGATTTTCAGGTTCATGAATGCAGATTTTCAGAAATAAAAATATGATTTTTCAAAATGCAATTTTAAGGTCCATGAGGTAATGTGCCAAGGAATATATCCTGAGACCATAAAGAGGGCTCTAACCTTATTAGTCTTTCTCTCTTTCTGAAGGAGAAAAAGAGGAAAGATTAGAAATGTGACATAGGCTGATCAAGACAGGTTTTGGATCTGTAGGATTCAAATCTCTGAATTCACCTATCCCCACTCTGAGAGGCAAAAAATGAATCCTGTCTTGGCACCTGTCACCAGCAGGATTTTTGAATATTTGAGGTTGCAATGCTCTGAACAATGCTTTGCTTTGGCCAGATATGTTTATTTCTGTATATTTCTAATTTAAGAGAAACATATTCATCTACCGATTGCCCTGGTTTAATGAAATGACTGAAGTGAATTCTGTAATACCAGATGATACATTTAATGGCTAACACGCTCAGTATGTCTCTCAAGTGGTTCCTGTTGTTCTTTGCCAAAATCCATTTTAAAACCCTAGGATTCTAGAAGACCTTTGAGTAACTGGGATCTTGAAATTAAGCTAGTTAGTTCAATGAAACCAACAATTTAGTATGCATCAGTGTTGAAAGAAAAGAATTGTTTTGGTGGGGCTAATAATAAATGAGCTAAAATAAAATTGCTACTACAGTTTAACTTCATATAAATTAGTACAGAGTTTAGTTTAGTTTAGTTTAGTTTAGTTTAGTTTAGTTTAGTTTAGTTTAGTTGGATAGATTTTAAGCAAAATTCACCCATTGAAAAGATACAGCAGTTTAAAAAGTTAAAAAAGCTTTCTTATGAGGAAAGGCCTAAGTGGTCATTTTTTTTAAAATAGAGAAAATACCTGTAGTGTGCATACAATTATGAAGAGTATTAAAGACAGCAAACTTTTTATTCTTCTGAAACACTAACTCATACAGTCACCTTATAAAATGAATTAGTAGTAGTAGATTTAGAACTTAAGAAATAATATTTCTAAGTTTCTTCATATAATGCATAATTAATTTATGAAAATCAATTGCTGCAAAATGTATTGATAACCAATAATTTCAATGGCTTTAATAGACAGATCAGATAAATTCAAAGACAAATGGCATATTAATAACTATTAGGCATGATAATATGCCACAGAATATCAATTGCTCAAGGACTAACATTGGGGCTACTGTCTTTAAACTTTGCTTGTGGGCTCTCTGGAGGCATCAAGACAACAAACCTAGACATAGCCTCCTTTCTGAGATATTTTGCTCAATATCTTTGGTGAGTCAGGTTTGTGACTAGAACTGAGGTGCTCCTTTTCTGGCTCCATGGTGAAAATACTGATTTCAGTGTTGGGGAAATTTTCTTTCCTGAACAGAACACAACCCAGGACAATTAGTCTGCAGATTGATTTACTTGATCAAGGTCAAATCTCTCTCTTACAAAATATTGGATTGAAAGACAAAGAGCTTATCTTTTATGCTATTTGCTGTCCTGCCCCTTAACTATGTCACTAAGTATGCTATCCATCCTCTAACTACCTCATTAGGTACGCTCACTAGTCTAGTCATGTCACCAAACATGCAAGTTTACCTAGTTACACATACACATTCTTTGGAACTGGATCAAAACTACTCCAGCTGCTTTTGGCTGATGCCAGAGGTGAGCTGAAAAGTGCATGGTGAGTGAGAAGTTCACTTGCACCTGCACTGTTAATTTAATACAGTAAGGGTTGCTCTAATTATCAAAGAAAACATTTCATTCAAAAAGGGAAAATTAAACTTACAAAACCTCTATTTTTACCACTTCTGGATTCAACTATATTGGGCTAAATTACTTTTGGAGTGTTTGTGTGTGTATATATATATGTACATATGTGTATGTATACACACACACACACAATAAAAGGTATATAAAATATAAATCATTGTGTATCTGTTATACTACAGCTTGCCACAAAAGCAGAGGCAATTTGTACAGATGACACAAGGTGACTCTAAGAGACTTCTTGCCTTGCTCAGAAATTCTGAGCTTTCAGTGATATCTGATGTCTTTGGCAGAGGCTGCTGGTAAAACATCATTATTTTTTTTCCTGGTAAGGCCAGATTAAACACACCCAAGACACTGCAGTGTTTGTTTATGTGCAACAGTAATGTTGATGTCTGATTATTGGCAGGCATATAAATTATGTATATATATGGGAAGGCTGAAGTAGAAACTGAGGCAGGAAGGGATCCTAAAACTTTAAAAAAGTCAGAAGTTTGGGTTCCAGAACTGAAGCACAGTCCCAGTCTGTGCTTAAAAGTCTACAGTTATTCATGATAAGTTTTAAAAGCCCCATTATTAAATGCTTATTTAGCACTATAATTCGACTTAGAATAATCAATATAAATGTTACTTACAAGTAAGTCATGTGATAGATTTCTCTCAAGGATTCCTGGCATCTTTCATTCATTTTCATTAAATCGGGTGAAGTAAAACTATATACATTTTTCATTTTAGTAATCTGTGGGAAATTTTCAAACTGAACATTAAAATATACTAAATAATCATACTATTTCCAGAAAATTAATAAAAAATTACCTGTAAAGTGTGAGCTAAAACTGTCTTGATTACTTTTAAAACTTAGGACACAAACTTAAAACATTAGTAAGTTATGATGGTAACACTGTACATTATCAAAAGATAAAAAGTGGAAGTGATAAAAGATTTTTTAGCCCAGTACTCATATACAAAGGCAGCAACATCCAGTTAGTATCCTCTATTAAGTTGTGCTACAACATTACACAAATAATGAAATAAAACAGACTACAAAGGAAGTTCAGTCTATACAAATTGCTCTGGTTAAGACAATAATAAAATAAAAATATATTGCATTACACTACAGATGTTATTTTTGTTAAAATCAACAGTATTCTTTACTGGAAATATTGGAAAAAACAAAGAAATATTGTCATTTTCTTATAGAGATTCTTTAATTAGTATCAACTTATATAATTACTGTCCCTTTTGACAACATCAGAATATTTATTCAACAATTCTGTCAATTAGACATCATAGCTGCTCCTTGCATGTGGTTATTTCTACCTGGGCTGTTGTTCCAATGGGAGCATAGCAAGTATGGACTTTATTAAAATTAATACAGTAATATCTTAATTTGGTAGTTAAAATTAGAGCTCAGTTTCACAAATAATATATATAGTATTATTTATAATGGGTTAGATCAAATATGCTGCAAGTCATTTCCCATTTAAATACTGACAACAATCACTTTGGCTACATGGAAAAAAAATCCCAAACTCCTCTGCATGAACATCTTTATTAGACATACTGAAGATCTATGAAATACAAGTTTTGAATTTCCAATAATGCCCATTCAGGCAAAAGATTTAGAGAAATAAAAAAAAAGTTAAAGGGGAATGAAAAATGAGACTGATGTTTAAGCTATCTGTGTACCATGTAATAGTCTTATATGTGTTAAAAAATTCCCCAGGTATGCACATTGGGTCTTACCAGGTATAAAGATAGTTTTAGTTTATACTAAGGGCTCTTCAAAAGCTTGTAAAGTAGAAGTAACAATTGTGTGGCTTTCTAGCTTTGAAGAAAGAAACAGGGGGAGATAACAGAGATGTACTGTTACTTAGAGAAATGAAGTTGAGAAAGTCCCCTTAGAGGTGTATGAAGATATGAGGAAGTCAGAGAAGATCTTTGTCACTTTCAGCCTTATGAGATAGACCAGACAGGAAACACGACCAGATGAGCTAATTCTACTTTATTGTAAAATTACATTAACAGAATCTTGCAAGTCTGAAAGTACATCTCTCCCTCTGTCTCCTTTACAGCCCGAGGAACTAGGGAGGGTCTCTTCTGAGTCTCTTGCTCTGCCCACATTTCTGCCGCAGGCTCAGCTGCCTTTTATCTGACTGTTCCCTTGGCTGCATCTTTTTGCCATGTCTCCCAAGGTCATTCCCACATACTATTACAGTTACACTGGAACTTATTAGGACCACCTGAGACCATTAATGTAGGGGAAAGCCTGATTTTTAAGATAACCATGTTCTACAACATCACATAAAAACACAACTCCTGTTTTCACTTCCCTTATTTTGCAGAAATGGGGAATTGCTAATAGTTTCTCATGGGATGCTTAGAGTGGATGGATCTCTCATGGTTAGAGAACTCAGTCCTTTAAGTATCTTGGCCCCAAGCCATACAGGGCTTATAAATCAATATTGCATTTAAACTGTATCCAGAAGCTACTGCAGCACATGTATGTATACATATACATATGTAAATAAGTATGTATATCTATCAGGGTTAAGCATATATGTACATGTATATATCAGAATACTGGCATCCAGTTAGTCTATATATGTGTATTTGTATATATGTGTGTGTGCATACAGTAATATATAAATGTGTGTGTGTGTGTGAATCAGTTTTTTTGTGAGGCTGAAAATCACAATTCTAGAACAGATGATGCTCATCTTGGAGTAATGGCCAAAGAAGAGGTGAAGATTTTCTAGAAGAAAAGATGATGTAGTGACTGACACAAAATATGTAGGTAGCCAATTTGGAAAAAGAAGAGACTGCCATAAAATAAAACTCCTCAGGCTTTTAACACAGCCCTTCTTTTAAGTGACATTGCATTGCACTGGAAAATATATAACTGAAATATCAGTTTTTCGGATCTGGTGGCCATATAAGTCCAAATAATAAGAATAATATCTACTCACAAACTGGTAGATATAATGTATCAAATAACATGTAGAGAAGAGTTGTTTCAGCTGCAAAGGCCCCTAGGAAAAGCAACATGTTTCCCAGGAACATTTCCAGTCCAAGGAAATGTTTATAACTGCAGTTTATAACTCTCCTAGAGTAATTTTTGTTTAAAGGAAAAAAAAAAAAAAAAAAAAAGGAAGAAAAAAACATAAAATGGAGCCAGGTTATTTTCTGAATTTGATTTGGCTAGCTGATTCTCTTAGAAATATCAATTTATATAGTCAAAGTCTACTAAGCATTGAGTTGGAAAATCTGTAATTCATCAAATTTCCAAGTACATTAGTTAATTATAATAGATTTGAGAGCCAACATTTTCAAAATGTTTACCTTGGTAAATTCTGAAGGAAGTTGACCATTGTGTATTGCTGTACAATCAGCGTTCATCTGAATAAAAAATCCTCGAGCTGAACTAAAGCTTGTTTTCAAAGGAAGGTTATACTTTTCTGCAAGCTGTGTTATCATTCCTTCATAGCAAGATATAAATAAATATTTTGATTATGACAGGCAATCACATTGTATGGGCAATAAAATTAATCAGTATGGTGAAAATCTTGACATTTTTATAAATCAACAAGAAGACAGAAAACATTTTAATCTTAAAAAAAAATCCAGCCAAATAGTGTTGTGTTACTATAAAAATGAGTGGAAAATAATTTTAAAAATCAGTAATTAAGGGCATAGCTTCTTTCCCCTGCAATTCCAGAACTTTCCCTGGGACAATTAATAAATGTGATTCAAGAAGAAATTCATAAGTTATTCCTCTTTTTAATTCCACAGCCTGTAAACAGCCTATTTCTTAAAAGTGTTAAATCCTGAAAAGCCTAAATAGTGTTTTGTACTTTGTTGTCCACATAAGACAAAAGTCATATAACAACCCTTCCTACCAAAAAATTCAAAATAGTTCAGGAGGGAGGGAGGGAGGGAGGGAAGGAAGGAAGGAAGGAAGGATCACCCTGTCATTTAGGCAGGAAGTGCAGTGTGGACTGGGAAGGGTAGATCCTACGGCTACCAGCATCCTACCAGGTGTCACTGTGGAGCAGAGCATGAAAGCTCAAAGCCATCACAGCTCAGGACATGGCCAGAGCCAGACCCAGAGTCTGCTTCCCTGGTACCACTATAGCTCATTGCTCTGGTTTTAGAGTGAGAAGCATAGCTTTGCACCCTGACATGAAGGCAGAGGAGATTCCTAGCCCTGCACTGAGGCATCACCACAACCAGGGCCAAGGCATGCTCCAACTACTACACATTCCTCACCATGGCTTTAGGATAGGCAGTGCAGGTGGATCTGGTCAAGTGATAGCTGCACGCCTAGCTCTGCATCAAAGCACTTTCACATCCAGGGCTGGGACCTTCTCTACCCACCACTACTGCACTCCTCTCTATGGCTTTCAGATGAAAAATGTGGCTCTAAACCCAGGCAGCAAACTGACAGGTCTCAGTATTGTCTGAGATGGCATCTTCATGAGGACTGCAGCCACCCTTAGCATGGCCCATCCAGGTACAGAGCCGTGGTTCTTATTCAAAAGATATAGCAGTAGGGAACTCTGGCAACAGTGGGGAAAGGAGTAGCTTTTTCTTTGCCTCCTCCTCTGCCAGGAGTCACTAGTTTGAGACCCCTGTTCAGCAAGCTTTCTTGTCATCCTAGGAGAAGACTGGCAAGTTGCTATCTTACAACTGACCACTGCTATTTTGCTGTATGAGAGTGAGGTGTGGATCACACTATATGACCTGGAGGGCCACAAGTTTGAGACCCTTGCTCCATACAATAGCTGTGTCATGATCCATAGAAACCAAATTTATCTCACACATAAGTCCTTGATATTCTCTTCTAATCTATGCCTATGTTGTCACCTACGCTTACTTCTTTCTGTTGCCAGTCTCTTCATTCTCTCAACTGGTTAACAGGTATAAAGAAATATTATCAAACCTTTGGTTGCACAGGACGTCTGACACAACTCCCATTTATTTCAAAATAGTCATGGAAGAAGAATATTCTAGGAGATTTTGCCCAATGTGAATAGCATTTCAGAATCTTTAAGTAATTTTTTTATTTTATACGAACACTTAAAATTTAAGACTGCATTCCTTAAATATACACTCATATATTTGTGTGTAAATCTTACTGAACTCTATGGGACATAGTTCTGAATACGCTAACACACTGCACTATAAATGTTATTAAAGAGTATATATTCTAGTAAATTATTATTCTATATTATCTTCCCATACCAGCTATATCATCCACAATTTCAGTATAGGTTCTTCGTGCTATATCAAGAAATTCATTAACATTAGGCTTCACTGCATAGCACTTCTGAGTTCTCATATTCAAACATCCTTTTGTGTATCTTGTATCATCATTAATAACAGTTTTAATCTTTTCAAGAATGATCTCAAACCTAGAGAAATTATACATAATTGTGAAAATGACTGTTATATTTTACAAATGTATAACTGCCTAAAAAGATTTTTATCCCAACTCATAGTCAGTATTCATAATATATTTTTAAAATCCCACTAATGTTCATATCTAAGTTGAATTGCCTAATGCAATATTTATTTTTCATTATCTGAAAAGCTATTTATATTCAAACAATACTATTTCTGTCAGGATTCTTGAATTAGTTACATTTTCATTGTGATAGATATGTTTAAAACAATTTAATAATGACTTACTTAAATCAAAATACTACTCCCTTTGTTGACATAAAATAATACCAAGGATTACAATTATTACTAACTTTTAACTTTTATTGTCTAATTTAAAATGTTAGATATGAAATTGTATTTATAATACAGTACCTGCTATCTTCCAAAGAGCTATAATAAGCTTTTAACAATGGAGTCTTATAGCTTTTTAAGGCTTCCTGTTTAAATAAAATGAAAATCTATATAGTCAACAGTAGAGGAATGTTAATGAGTACAGCTATCTTACTTCACTAAGGTTTGAATGGAAAGAAGTATGACATCACTTCATTTTTAAAATTATTTAAGTGTAAGAATATGTCAAAAATTATAATAAATGTGTGCACAAAAGAATTTAATTAGCTTCAAATAGTATCAGTTCAAGTACTTTAAAAAGTGATCACTTTTTAAAACTGATTCATGCCCATTTAACCATAAAAAGATAACCAAAACCAAAATATTGCTAAAAATATTATCTGTATCAATATAATAAAATATATATTGAAGAAAATATATTTGTAAATTAATAATATATTGAACAGTATTTAATTGATTAAAATCACCTTGCTGTTGGAGATGCAACTCAAGAGTTGGAACATTAACTCATATGATCTGAATTTGTCCTATTATTGTTATATATGAGGTAGATATCAACTGAATTGTTAATATGACTCTGGATCATATTAAAGATGCATATGTTCTTAGCTATGTCATAGAATATATCACTGGCTATATTAGTACTTGGAATATATCAAGACACAGGAGATGACAAAAAGAGTCTTCATACATCTGTACCTGATTTACAGCAAAGAATTGATATTCACTGTCTGTCAATATTGATATGTGGGGGGGGGGTTGATAAAGGATCAAGGAAGAAGATTTCTGAACAATATGGTCAATGTTTTTAGAATTTTCCAGGCCTTCCACCCCTCCTTTTTTTCTTTGTAAATTATGACATTATTATTAGATATAAAATTAGATTATTCCATTAATACTGTTGTGTGTATTCATTTTGTTAATTTACCTTAATGAAGTTACATTTAAAAGCTTTCATATGTTAAACTGAGTAAAATAACAGATTCCTAGTGAACATGCAAATGAAGAGAATGCTAGGGTAAGGCATCCTGACTCATAAATCTTGATATTAGTTGCTATCCAGTTTATTTCAGGACATGGAGGCCCTCCAAGCAGGGACTCTAAAAGACAGTTTTGATATATATCATATCTTAATAGATCTACTAATTGCCTGACAGGTATATGCACACAATGATAGTGGAACCAAACTTACTTAGAGTTTTAAAGGTTAAAATCAGTCCTATGAATTTCCATCAGGAGCAAACCATTAGAAGGTTGCAGTAGCTCTATCTATGTTATTAGGACATAGCTAATTGGGCTCAGCTAATTGGGCTTTGCATGAGCAGCTAAAAATATAATCAAAAGACCCCACCATCTGATGTTCTTCTGACAAAGATACTCTACAAGAGTGATCAGGACTACATCAGTTGTAAAGGGACTATTTTTTCCCTCCTATGAAGTTTTAAGTAGCCATGAATGACAAGAATCAAGCATAAAGGTTATAGAACGGATTGCTTCAGTCAGAGATTCTCTAATCCCTAACCTCAGGCCACTTTCTCCCGGCTTCTAAGGAAAATATATGAACAATTTTATCTGTAAAATGCCTTTGTAGCACATCAAATTAGATCTCTATAAGATCATTTTGTGCAAAAGAGTTAGCCTTCTTGCCATCTAAAAGAGTTCAGTCTGACAGCTTGGAAAAATACATTGGTAGTGGAGAAGCAGTTATGATTTATCATTTTCACTACAAGAGAGTAGGTTCCTTGGTAAATTCTAGGCAGGGATTAAGCGTGCTTACTCTAAATTTCCTCTACCTATCTTTATGTGTCTTCTTGCACACACATACATGAACACATGTACTTAGAGTTATCAGAAATAGCTGTAGGAAGTGAGTAGAGAGTCCAGCAGGTAAATATACAGGGATTGGACAGTCTGAGAGTTCAGTGTGTGACTATGTGTTATATTTAGGAATACAGACATTCATCAACTTTAAGGATCAGGTGATATCCTAGTGTCTCCATTACCTGCTGTATAGCTTAACTGTACCACATTCTGGCTAATGTGATAATAATACTTTAAATAGGAGGCAAGCAGTTCCTCTCACTGTTAAATTAACATGATATGATAGACTGTAAAGCCCTGATTTGATAGAGGGTAAACACCTTGATTTGAGACCCCAATGGCCTAATGATAACCATAATTGTCATTTACATAACATTTTAGGATACGATACCTTCAAAGGCTCCACAAGTTCCAAGGTATGCTTCAGATAAATTAAATTGGTTATCTTTGATTCAGATGCATTAACCTATTTTAAAGAACATCATGTTATTGTTGATACAGTAGAAAATAACTTAGATACTGTTATTATTTTTATAATTACTCGTGGCTTAACTGTCATTACTATTTTCTTTGTAAGCACAATAACCAGAGATGGTATGTTAGAAATGTTAAATGACATCTCCTTTGCCCAATAAATTGTTCATTCTTATAGCCTTTAGTTTACAGTGTTATATCATAGTACATCCCTCTAGTATTGACATTCTTTATGTCATACTTTTCAAGATTTGAAGAAAAATGGGAAGAAAAAAAAGTGAAAAAAAAAAGAGAGATGTGGTTTCAAAGTTGCACAACAACTATTTCTTCTGGTTCATTTAAATAAATACTTCCATGTTCTATACCAATATTGGTCATTTCCTACTAGTTATTTTCAAAGTGTTTTACAGTCATCCAACCATCATTGTACCAGAATAATAATAATGGGGAAAGGCTTTATATTGTTTCATGATGGTTGTAGGATGCTATTAGATGCTATTAGTGATTATTGGGTTCATTATATACTGTCAGTGATTATTATACCATTACAATGTTACTGCTTTTCACTACTGAGACTCTTTCCCTTGAAGCAAACATTCAAAAAAATTAGGTAATGGTTTTTGCTTACTTGTGAAAATCTTCATTTGGATTTTTTTTTTAAAAGAATCACTTGATATGGCCCTGTGTATTTGCTAATTGAAAAAAAAAACAGAAGATAAAACAAGTAAAACAAATGGGAGTGGGTAAGAGACAGAACTGGGCCATTCTATCTCCTTTTCTGAAGGAAAAAGTAGGAACATGGTGCAGGTATTCCAGCAGATTTTTAAAAAACCCTCTGCCCCCCCCACAACATTATAGGAAGACTAAATAGAAGGTAAAGGGGAAAAAAAGGAAAAGTTTGATTTCCCATTCTCCATCCACATATCTGAGTTATTTAGTATGACAAATTACCACAGTTTTAGAATGATAAGAAAGAAAAGAGATGTCCTTTTCCTGTCTTACTCCCTGACCCTGTACTGTGAAAATTCCCTTCTTCTGAGATTGTAACAAGGCTCCTATTCCACAGTGATACAAGGACCTGAACAGGAAATCCTATTTCAGAGGTTGGGTAGCTACTATATGTTTTGTGAAGGTTCCCTTATCTTATGTGACACTGTTGTTTGTATCTTATTTTTTTAGAACTATTGCATTTTTCATGTTATTTTTCATTATTTTATTCAATCAGCCTCTTAAGCCTTCATCTGTATTTTCATCTGGCTTTATACAGAATTTTTTTAGTGATTTATCTCTAGAGCTAAAAATACTAAAAGCCTGAGCTCTGGAAAATATTGTTTTTGCAATACAATTTGTAACTCTCTTTAACCATTTGATTACTGGTAAAAACAAACAAAAAATCTTAAAAATAGTTTAATTTTATATAATTAAAATTAAATTATATATTTAATGTAGTGAAAATTAAATAACTAACTATAAATAAATTTCATCATGTGCATTATTAGAAGATAACAATATCATAACCAGTTCTGGCAAGCTAAAATCTTTTCTAAATACATTAAAAAATAGAAAGTCGAACATTTCTAAGACAACACAAAGGATAAAAATACCATCTCTACATATGTCTGTGTCTGTGTGTATTCATATCTGAAAATCTTTTTAAAAAGTGAGTTTTATTCATATTCATGAACAGAATTCTCTAATACAGAAAAGCAATAAAAAGAGAAAGAGAAAGATAGATATTTATAATGTATTCCATTAAAATATTTATAAACATACCGTATCCTGCTTTGGAATTTGTACTAGAATTGAAAGTAATTGTTCAGTGTCCAAAAATCTTGCTATAACTGAAAAATAAAAATCAAGCAGAACATTTAGTTTGATCCACAAACCAATTAAAGTTAAATTCTAGGGTTTAATTCTAGGCATGTACAAAATTATTCAAATTGAAAATGTTCTAAGCTCAAGATACCTGTATTTCAAGTTTCAGGTTTTCTTCTTAAGGATAGAAATTAGATTTGTGATATCATAATGAATGTTGAGATGGGAGCCTGTATCTGTGTGAAATTATGCTATATTTGCTAAAATGCAAAATTATCTGCCTCCATTCCCTTTTCCCTTTCTCCTGTTATATCATGAAATAACTATATGTGATAAACATGATGTGGGGTTAGGAAATTATAGCAAGCAAGATAATGGACACAGATACTATTGGGAGGTGATTGTATTGGAACTCTTACTATGTTATGCATGTTATTTCAAAACCTCTAATCCATCCTGCTCAGCATGGATTGCCTTATACACATTAATGGTTGTCATCACTCATTTCACAGCCACTAAAATCCTAAAATCCTATGGTGATTAGCCAAGCTTTCAAGCTGCCTGATTCCTAGGAAATCTCTGGGTGCTATGCTTGCACCAACCATCTTGGGATCCTACATTATTAAGAAATTATTGCCATGAATCAATAGCAGCTATACTACAATTTCTTTTACCATTCCATTCTTTACATTTCTTACAATGTACTCATCATTTCACCATCATTTCTCTGCAGCTATCATTCTACTTCAAATTGCCAGGATCTTAATTTAAATTCCTTCTGTACTGTGAATCAACCCCTACAACTTGTACTTGCTACGAAACAATACAGTTATTCTGAACTAAGAAAACACTTGAACAATAAGAGTTTAATACTAACAAGTGATAAACTGAGATTAAGATCCATATAACATGATGTCAGAATATATGACCTGTACCTCAGTTGTTGAAACCAATTCCTACATAAGCAGTTGGAGAAAGTCCAATCTGGAGCGAAGGAATACACAAAAGACAACAAAGTATGAAGAATTTGGGGTTAGGAACTAGAAGAGGTTTCAACAATAGCCTGGGTATTCAGTAGATCCATAGACTAGATTGTGAGACAGAGAGAATTCTTCCATCTTAAGTTTCAATATACAGTACTGTATGTTCCCCAACCAATAAATATTGTTAAATAAAGACTGACATACATACTAGATTGGTCATCTAGAACTGTGACCTGCAACTGGTAATAATTTTGGTGTTCTAACAATGAGCATTCTGGGTGTTCACTCTTTTATTTCCCCACTCCTCCCATTTTCCCCATTTTCCTTGTTGTAATTATTTTTGCTAGGGATTTTTATTGTTATTATTTCCTACTATCCCATTCATGTATTGCATTTTCCTTCCTTCTTACAATTTTCATAGACAAGACTTGTCATTCTTTTCATTGTTTATGAAAACACAAGCTTGTAGATAGGAATTATTGCAGGAATCCAGATGAAAAATATAGTGTTACGGGAGTGAAGAAGTTGGGCATAATAAAATAGATTACAGAAGGCCAATAACTATGCTTCATGCTCTAATAATGTCCTAATTGGGCAATGGGGACAGATTGTACTGCCATTCTTCTGTAGGGTTTCCACCAGTTCAGAAGAGAGAGCCACTCATAGTTTAGCCTTCCAGGTGACAAATTATATTTTGAGAAAACATCTGTAAGGGAACTCTTAAGGCAAGCCTCCAACATAAGGAGTCCTCAGTGAGTGAAATGTGTGAATGAATTAATAATGAAGAGAAACATCTCAGGTCCTAATAACTTGTCCTGTTTCAAAATCTGAACACCTCCTGAATTGTCAGAATTTCTGCTTTCAACTCATAACAGAGCATATGAACTTGAAACAAGTGCAATAATTTGAAACATTTCAAATTAGAAACGTTTGGCATAACACTATTTAATTCATGGATGCCTACAGGACAAAATTTTAAATCTAAACATTAAGATGATATAAAGCAGTTACAGCATATATCAGAATAACACAATACTAATATAATATAATATAACATGGTATAGTATAAATATTATATTAAACACATTATATAGATTTGTCTATATTAAGTAAAATGCTTATATTAGTATTATTGTACTCAAATGTTCAACAAGACAGTTTTTTTAGATACATAATACAGTTGATCAATTGTTCAGCATCAATTTTATGAGTTCTCATATATTTCTAATATTTCTTACCTTTATAGCATTTAATAGAAGAGAGTTTACATCATTTATATGTGTGCATGATTTATTTTTAGAAATTTTTACATGTCACATTTTAGTCCTTATAAAGACTCCAAGAGCCAAAAAAAAGAGAGATTTTTAAGAGTATAAACAATCTGTAAGAGACAAGACTCAGTATAGGAGATTCTTTATTATTGGATGTCTTTTTATTTTAATAAACTCTGAAATTTGATCAGAATGGCAACATTGCCTTTCCTCCAGCACCAGAAACAGGCAATCTGCCAGCTGTATTGAACAGGGAGAAAATGTTAAACACATTTTTCTCCAGCACTACTTGTCCAATTAAATTTAGGGAGCCCTCCCTCTGTATTGGGACTGTTACTATAGCTAATCCTTTGAAGTTGATCAAACTAATTTACTCCTGATAAATGTCTCTTTTCCATCTTAAACCCATATTTCCCAAATTAATAGTGTATGGAACTGCTTTCAATCCTGGCTTTTATTTCTAACCTCCCAATTCCAAACTCAATAGCTGTAATAGCCAGTGATTTTAATGCCGGGTTGGGAAGCAATGACAAGGCTGTTTTACGGCATTACACTGTTTCGTGCTTTTCTACAATTTTGGAAACTTCTCAGAAATCAAAGGTCCCTTGTATTAATAAAGGGAGCTGGAGATTGTTTTTATTGGGAATGAAATCTGATTTGATGATACTCAGTGGATCAACATCAGGGGACTCTGAGGGTGAACTTACTTTTTGCGGTGCCAGAAAAGCATCTTCTCTAGATTATATGGTAATTGCAAGCATTTTTGCCCTTTACTGTAAACATTTTACAGTATTTTACACTCTCTTTCCCCAGAGAGTAATCACATACCAATAATGGGTCTCTTTGGCTTTGATTTAATTGAACCTAGTTGCCCATTACAATTCAGTGATTCATCCCCTCTGACAGGAATCTCAGATCAGTTTGGACTAGTAAGCTTTCCATGGCACTACTTCCATTTTTTGCTATCCCATTAGCTACTCTTCTGAAACAATCCATATGTGCATTCAGTGACCCCTATGAAATAATCTCTATTTATCAAAGAATCATCACCCTTGTCCAAAAGTATACTCTGCCTGCCCAGCTCCCTTCTTCATATCAGTTTAACAATTGTTCCAAACCTTGGTTCAACAGGTAATTCTAGCCTATAAAAATGCCTGTATATATAACAATTATCCCTAACATGAAATCTTTTACTCCTTTAAAAAGGGCTACAAGAAGCTTTTAAAGGGAAAAAAAAGTTCTAAAGAACTCGAATAGGATCCAGCAGGCTGTGATCAATAAAAATTATTGTCTGTTTTGGAATCTTATTTCTCAACTTCCAGCCAGAATTAACTCTGAAAATAATAGCAACCTAATCTCTCTAGAGATTACTTTCTACTTTCATGGTTATTTACTGTATCCCAAGGCAGCAAAGCCCATGTCCAGCTTCTTGATGAATCTCTCCCCGAATGACCTCCAGTTTCACCTTCTGAGGTTCCAAAATTAATTTCTTAATTGACAAACAGCAAAAATCTTGGTAAACAGTTAATTTTACCAAAATGTTTAAAATTAAATTCTGTATGTGGGCTACTGTTCTAGCCCCCTTTTTTATAGCTATAAATAATTCCTTTTGATCATGCACATTATGGCTCAATTTGGCTGACTTAAATTCTGGCTAATGCAAGTCTTTGGGCGAATCCCTTGGTTCATCTCATGTCACCAGACAGGTTTAGATCTACCCTAAGTAGACAAATTAACAATGATTTGGTATATTGCAGCCTTTCCTTGTCAGCACTCTCTGCTCTCAGCCTTGATTAAACTCTGGCTGAACAGAGGATTTGGGATTTAGATATTCAAACTGACAGACCTAGTATTTTCCATCTTCTCTACAGTGTAATTTCTCCCTTGTTCCTTGGACTAGATTTTTTAAAAATATATTTCACATTTCCCATAGGAGACATTTTACCCTGACACGAACTGAGGTGGTACCAATTAGGATGACAATTAGTAAGATACATTAAACTCCTGCACTTGCCTGTGCTCAGATACAGAAGTTGAATGTGTATCACATGTGCTATTAAAATGTTCGTAATATACCCAATGGCAATTGAAACTGGCCAGTAATTTTCATTCTCCTGTGATTATGCAGTAACTGTTTTTCTTTTATGTAATGTATGTAATCAATTGTTGAAGAAGGTTGCAAAATCCTTTCTGAAATTCCCCGATATCTGCTTTTCATTATTGTTTCAGGATTTTCTCATAATTTCATTCTTTTAGTTACTGAACCTCTTGTATTTCTTTTTATGATTGTTCTTGGACTATAATTAAATAAAGATAAAATAATTATAAAAAGCTTCTCTTATATTTAACTTACTAACTTATTTCATTTGTGTAACTTATTTACAATAGTAACTTATTAATGATATGAACTAATACATCAGTCAGAAGATTTGAAGAATAAAATAAGATATACTACATCAACCTAACTGCAAAATATTTTATTCCTTTTACGAAGCAGAATTTGTTTACCTGACTGAAGACCAAAAAAGCATTCCTCATCCTGAAGAAGCTCTTGAACAGAATCCAATCTTGTGTTGATACTATCAGCATCAATCAGGGGTTCTAGAATATTAGACCTAAGTCTTCGACTTCCCCCTGGTGTCTTAGTATAATTTAGAATGCCAAAAAGAGTATGACCCTTCCTTTGAAAACAATACAAATTTGAAAAATGATCTCACAAAATAAAGTTAACACAAATGTAAGCGTACATATTATTATAGCAATCTGCTTTCAAAATTGGCAATACTGTATATGCACAAATCACAAAGCCCTTCCAGCTGTAGAGAACAGAATGAGGAACAACCCCTACCAAGGCTGTGTAAACTTAAAGCTATGTTCTGTTTTATTGGTTCTAAAAAAAAATCATATCACCTACATTGCTTTAACACTAGATTTTTCTCTAGAATGCCCATCCATCATTCACTCACTAGTTATGGTGAATTTGGATAATATTATCAATTGTCCAACCATTTCAATTATTTTTTAAAATATTTTCTCCTAACTCCTGACTTAAACAGCTTATCCATCATGTACAGTTTAATACTGTTTGTTATTGTTTCCTGTTGACTACAGATAGAATTAATGGTTAGTTTACATTTATTAGCATCTCTTCGTTTTCAGATCTGTTGTTCTAACTCTGGCTAAGAATTCCTCCTTAGATGAAGAAGACTATGCTATGGCACTCAAGTATCTAGATACAAAAAACTGAGACATGAGCAATGGCAGAAAGGCAGTATCAGGCCTCACTGCCTTTGATCGTACTGTACTCACTTGATTGAGACTTCCAACCAGCCCAGAGTAACACTGTTGCAGACAACACTGGAGCCACACTCTGCTACAGGCTAATATTTGTACTTGTTGAACTAGTACAATGTTGAACTAGCATCTGACAATGCTGTCCACTTGTTTCTTGCCTATGCTAAGTACTCCTTTTTAATCTAGACTGCATTTTACCCCTAGCCTACTGCAGCCAGAAAAGGCAGGACATTAGTACTAGGGCAAAAATGTTCTATCAATCTCTCATAGATAAATATTACTCAACATAAAACAGTTTAGAAAAGTTCTAGAAATAGAATTTTTTTAATCACATGGGAAAGCATTAATGGATGGGACTTAATGATGAGTAAAACAGAAGGATTGTATTGCTGAAACATATAAATAGTAAAATTCTACATGTTTATTCTAAAGTAGATCTCATTATGTTAAATGTTTATTTCCTAGGAGGTGCATTTAGAATGGAAAAATATGTATCTTGCCTTTTTATTTCACTTCAAGCTAATGTCAGAAAAGCAGTGCTAATTAATGTTGAAATATCTACCAACCTCTTCCTTTCTAGTCCCCAGATATGCAGGTTTCTTTTAGGAGGGAAAGTAATTTGTGCTATAAAGAAATAACGTATTGAGCCTGCAGCAAATTACCTTTTACATCCCAAGACATCTAGTACAATAGCAATCAATTTATGGGGTAGGAGAAGCTTATGAAAGTGGCTTATAGGGAGCTGCTCCAAAACATTCTTCTCATACAGGAGAATATCGTGCAATAGAAACTTCAGAAAATAATTGTGCAATACATTAAAGCAAGTTTGAGTCCGGTGGCTTCCAGATTGAATGAATTAATGAATTAATGAATAAAAACAGATGCATAAAAGATCCAAGCATACGTTTTTTTCTATTAACGTCTGGCTAAATAGATCAAAAAGTTTCTTTAGAAAAAAATGTTGTTTCTTAGTGTAAGGGAAATAATTTACTCAATCTGTGAAATTAATGCTGTGATTAGAACAAATAAGACAAACTGTTAAATATTTATTCATACAGATCTTATCAAGAACTAAAACTGCACAAAACATGTATGCTCTGTCAAACAAAATAAGGACTATCTTTATGAGAATTTGTCAGCAATATATTGACGTTAATACAATATTTAAAATTTGTGCCTATAGTGAAAACAAGATAAACACTTCAGTACAAACTGCATGTAGAGGATGGAAATCCAGGAGTAGTAATAGCCTTTTATTTATTTAATTTTATACTGAAAGACCAAAACATATTGAACAGCCACCCACCACCACCATTGTAGATAGCCAAAAGGTATAGAAGAAACATACATAGAAAGTTCCAACATTTCCAAGATTAAAACAGGCATCTGACAGCAATAAGAACTGGATAGACTTAGTGACCCTTCTAGAGATATCTGATGACCTGTCAGCAAAGAATAGAAGAATATTTTCCTTTTAGCAGGTGTTATTGTATCAGTCTGCCACCTAATATATAAAGGACACCAAAGAAGCATATGGGAGATTATTTCCATTTTTGCTCTTGGTCAGAGTAAAGTCTCTTTTGTGCATGGGTGTTACTGAATCTTATTTCTAACAATGATCATGCAAAACATTATAACAAATGAGGATAAAAGCTTTTCTACTGGATGGGCAAGAGATGTTTGCTAATTACTTGGCATGTGAGAACAGTTACCCAACAGGCCTAATTTTAGATTTTGTTTAGGTAATGCTGAATATTACTGCTGAGAGATATTTGTTTCAGTTTGGACCAAGCTGAAGAGGACAGAGTGCTATCAAGGACTGGAATAATAGTCCATGTTTTAAGTTTATAATAATGCCAGCCTATGATGTCATAAATTGTCCTGCACAATCAAAGAACCAGAATGCAGCCCCCGCCCCCAAAAGCCATTTAATTCAGTACTTTTCAAGTGGCAAAGGCACATATGAGTCTCTGTAGAAATTAGGCCAGTTTCCAATCTCAGGAGGGAATTTAATGCACAATGAGGAATTAGCAGCAGAGGTGTAAAATATTTAGATTGGGCAGCCTCCACAGAGCTTAAGATGTAGTAGTAACAAATCTGTCCACCATTTAGCAGATGGCTAATGACCTTTGCTGTGAAAATGTTTGTTGCATCAAGAACATGGTTATCACCATTACAGTTGGCAAAGCATAGAATTGCATCTGAAACATTACGAGCCTTGGTGGTGACATTTCCTTGCTGTTGATTCCACATTGCCAAGGTTTGAAAGGATACACCCAAATATTTTAATACCTTGATTTGATCAATGTGGAAACTGTTCGTTTTCCAAGAGTACCAGTGACCAGAGTGTCTTTTGGAAAAGGTAACTACTTTAGTTTTGTTATAACTGATGACCAGCTGCTTTTCATTGGAGTAATGGGCAAGAACATGGAAGCTCTGTCTCAAGCCTACTCATGTTAGGAAAAGGATTGCTGCAGTGGAACCAAATTTATTGCTTAATGTGGGAAGGGGTGAAATTCAGTTTTTGCCAAAGTTTGAAGTAATATCAAAATTAGAGAGAAGGGGTCCCAAAATACAGCCCTGCTTCATCCCTTCATCAACATGAAAGTTTTCCTGAAGGACTACAACAGCCAATTTCTCCTAAAGTCAAAGGGGATCAGATCAAAGTCAATAAAGGCAACATAAGCAAACCTTCATGGAGTAATGTATTTTTCTCTTATGTGATGAACAGTAAGGCACCTCTCTTTCCTGAAACTGGCTTGATCCTCCTCCTTATATTATCCAATCTACAAGTTAGAAATTAGCTGGGTCCTTTCTATACCCTCACTTTTTTTGTATGCTTGGATTATGATGGATCTACTCCAATCTGTGGGAATCACAAAGGAAGACTCTACAGGTAGTCCTCACTTAACAACCACAATAGGGACTGGAAGATTGGTTGTTAAGCAGGGTGTCATTAAGCAAATCACCATGTGGCTGGACCCGATTTTATGACCATTTTATGACAATCATAAAGTGAATCACCATAGAAGTTAAGCAAATCATGTAGTCATTAAGTGAATCATGTGGTTGTTAAGCAAATCCAACTTCCCCAATGGATTTTTTTGCACCATCACATGACTGCAGGATGCTGCAATCAGTCATAAATATGAGCCAGTTGCTAAGTGCCTGAATTGCAATCATGTGACCATGGGGGTGGTGTGATGGCTTCTGATGGTTGTAAATGCGAGTACAGGTCATAAAACACTTTTTCCGAGGCCATCATAACTTTGAACTATTGTTAAATCAATGGTTGTTAAGCAAGGACAACCTGTATATTTGTGAACTGGCTGCCAGGACTGGGGCTGACTAATCCAACTTTGCCTCTAGCAGTTCTGTCAGTATCAGACCATCTCTGATTGCTTTGCCATCTTAAAGTCATAAAATGAATTTGGAAGTCTCAAGAAAAGACATTGGACCAATTTGCTATGGCATCAGGGAAAAGATCCAACAATGGCATGGTCTTTGGTACATTGCTAAACAGTGTGGAAATATTTGGCTCACATCTCAGGAGTAATCAGAGTGGTGAGGCTCAACAGAGGCTTTGGGAAAAAAGGGGGGGGCTGCAAGAAACCATCAGAAATCAGTGGAATTCTTTTCTTCAGTAATCAAGGAGACTGCCTGCCAGTTATCTTTCTGGTCCTCTATTTTTCCCCCTTTTAAACAGAGCTTTGTACTTCCCCCCTCCCCTTTCAAAGACAAATTTCATGAATGATTTGAACTGGTAATTCTGTATTTTCTAAAACCTTCCATTAAACTGGCCCTAGCTTCAATGCACTCACAGTCAATCCAAAACTTTGATAAAGGCTCAGTTCCCTGGATCTTAAATAAGGACAACCTGCAGGTCCTCCTGGGTATTGCTAATTAGCATTTAAAAAGTTATACAAGACAACTATCATGGGCTGCTTCTTGGCACAAATACAAGAGTCACCATTGAAGTGGTGTCTGAATTTAAGAAGTGCAAATGACACTCTCTACTTCCTAGGTCTAGCAATCAATCAAAACTCTTTCCCTGGAGGGATTATTCAGGTGATTTGCATTTTGCCTGTAAATGTGAGCATTTCTGACTGATTTCACAGTGAGTAGGAGATGATCACTGTCAGGCTGGGTAACATTTAAGAAAGAGGTGATATTTCATAGCAATCTAGTTAATTCTAGAACAAAAACCTTGGTAATGGCACCCTGGTGAGTTCTACTTAGTGATACTCTTGGATGCATTCAGAATACAAGGATCAAATTTGGTGACCTTTTAGAATAACCTTTATTACCTATTATTGATGTCAGAGTCTTTAGAGTCCCAGGGAAAGAGTGAGAGTAAGCAGTTCCCCAGGAGATACTATTAAGGTTA